AACCTTCTTTCAACTTCGGACCGTGTTCTCTTACAAATGACATCTTCGAGACTTCTAAAAACTTGCACACCTGCTTTCCAAGATTACTTAATTAGAGAAACTGAGAAGGTGTAGGGGTTTAGAATTAAATTTCATTGATATCAAAGTACACCAAAACTAAACGAGACAAGTTGTTATTTATTTCTTTGATCAAAGTTACTGGTCTTTCTAAAAGAAGCAGATGTTTCAAGAAAATTTTACACTCACCTCACGAGTATTTACAATATCCAAGTTCCCAAAGAAGTGATTTAAGTAACCCTGCATTGCTAGCTTTGCCTTGTCTGAAATGGACCGCTGTCCTCCCATTGCTGGCTTAATGATGGGTAAAGCAGCAACAGAAGGAACATTCCTGTACATTTTAAAAGATCAAATTTTGAAAGCATCAATAACTCCCTTCTCAGTTCTTACCCCCCAAAAGAAAGAATAAGACGCACAATATCGATTTAACCGCCTAAACCCACCGCTAGCAGATATTGTTATTTTTGGGCTTTCCCTTTTGGGCTTCCTCTCAAGGTTTTAAAACGCGTCTACAAGGAAGAGGCTTCCACACCTTATAAGGAATGCTTCGTTCTCCTCTCCAACCAATGTGGGATCTCACAATCCACCCCCCTTGGGGCCCAACGTCCTCGCTAGCACACCGCCCGGTGTCTGACTTTGATACCATTTGTAATAGTTCAAGCTCACCGCTAGCAGATATTGTCCGCTTTAGCCCGTTATGTATCGTCGTTAGCCTCACGATTTTAAAACACCTCTGCTAGGGAGTAGTTTCAACACTCTTATAAAGAATGTTTTGTTCCCCTCTCCAACCGACGTGGGATCTCCCAATCAATCAGAAGATAAAATGATTAATTTGGTATAATGCATAATCCCCTTTTATTAGTTACCTGTTTTTTGTTGTTTGTTCATCATGCAAAGGAAATAACCCATCATCAGACTCGTCATCATGATGGACTGCAGCTGTATGGTCTACTATTCCCAAGTTGTGAAGCCATTCTTTAACCTTGTATGTAAACATGACAGGACCAATCAAAACAAAAATTTTTGTGACAAACAAACTAAAGAGGATCCAAGTTTCACATTTCAGGCCCTTGTTCATAACAATTTTAATTTTGTTCTTCTATTATCACACTTATTGCTGAGAATTTTCGGCATTCTGTATTCTACTTTTAAATCACTGTTTAAATATCCGTAAAATCGAAAACAGGTAGTTTAAATTTTTTTGTTGTTCTTTAAATTTAACGAAGACCTCAAAACTGTTTTTTATTATTATTGTTATTAGAAAAATGGACCTAAACTAACCAGGCTGATTCGGGATAACGCTAATGGAGCAGAAATGTTATAGATAGAAGTGGTTTGGAATATGCCATGTGAGCCAAACCTGTTCTTGTTTCTCGTGAAGTTCTTCAATAAATGCACGTCTCTTCAGCGCAAAATGTAAATATAGAACTTGCGAGGCTTTCTTCACTAAGCTCCATATAAACTGTTAACAGTGAACTTAATGTCAGCATCATTTTTTCACAGTTGTGTCAACAAGTCAATTTTAAAATCGTGCAACAACTTCTAGAACTTTAAATCTTTTCAGCTACGAGATGTTTTTTAAAATTCACAAATCTATTGAGCATAAAATTGAAACGTTTACTCAACAAGATTATATCAGACACAATTTTGTGCAAGTTCGTAAATTGTAACTAATGTCAAGTAAGTTTGAAATCTATTTAACATAGTTGAAAGATCCTACCGACACTTTTAAAATTCAAGAATGTATAACACATAAATGATAAAATATTAGTTAATTACTCTATCTCTACCAATCATTTCGGAAAATTTTCAAATAGAAGACTTAAACACAGTAATTCTTCTCTTTCTCATAAACAGGTACTCATCAAATTTTCTTTCCATATTCTGTTTCACAGTTGAGCGCATTAAAATTTCACATTAACAAAAAAAAGCATCTAACAAATCAACCTTCCACATCTTCGCCCAAAATCGTCTGAATACACCGCAAAACAAAAGCAAACAGAACTGCGGAGAAAGATAAACAGATACCTGTTTGTATTGAATTTCAATAGTGTAAGACAACAGCAAGGGACTAATATCTCCAGTATCCGGCCGCGAAACCGATACAATGGAAGCAATCGGCAGCTCCTCAAAAACCCTAGCTGATTCTCCACATTGCCGGAACGAATGCGACGATGAAGCCAACCTCGGCGGCTCTGCTTCCGACGGAGTTGTACCACTGGAAATCAATCTCTCCGTCGACATATCAAATCAACGAAGTGAATTACAGAGAGTTCATGAAGGAAAACGTCGCCAGAAGTGAAATTCTTGCAACCAATTGACAAGTGAATTTTGAAATTGAAAGATGAGCAGTTCGTCGTATGGTTTTCCTTTTGGAGGTAACTTGAAACATAAAAACCACAAAAAGTTAGTTATTTATAACGAATAGGTAGTGTTCAAGGGAAAAAAATTTCTACGCCAAAATGTAAAATGACTAAATTACCCTTCGAATTGTGTGGATTTATATATACTAAATTTCAACAAAAATAAATAAGTATATATTACGATGTTACTCGGGACCCTTCGTAATATTTCAAAATTATCCTTACGCTCGGAGTAAAATTTCATTAAAATGTTGACGAAAATTGGAATCTCAAATATTAAATGACCCAAAATGAAACCGAGATATGTATAACGCAAACAGTTACAAGTCACTACCACACATTTGAAGTATGAATTTATATTCAAAATTCTAATATGCTTTTACTTTTACGGTAATAAGAAAAAAAAATGGTAATTTAAAATATTTATACATAGATTAAAAAAAAATTAAATGTGTATCTCAACTTGTTATTAAAAAAGAATTATGTTTTATTATCTTTTTCAAGTGTTTTTATTTAGTTTTATTATGCTTTAAAATAATTAATTTTAGTATAACCGCATTTTTTATTTTTCGTAGTCAAATTTGATTTAATTATTTTTTTCTTTCTTAGATGGAAAATGAGTCAATTTGAAATTTGGTTTTGAGTGTACAAAACTATTAATTTCATTTAATTACTTCATGATTTAACTTAACAAAAAAAAATTAAATCATAAATATGGATTATTTTTATTATTATTATTATTATTTCTTTTTGCGTTGCAAATGAAGATTCGTGGAGGGCAAAATGGTAACTTCACAAGCCCACAAGTGACAGAGTGGTGCCCTGATTAGCCAGGGGGAATAACTCAAAGAATATCCAACCTTTTGTGCTACCTACCAAGAATATGCCAAATGGATGTATGTTTGGTTCCAACTTGGGGCAATTATAATTTGTGAAAAGGACTTCATGTAATAAATTTTTTTAAAATATATATATATATATATTATTAACACTCGAACATAGGTTAGCTAGTTAAGACATATATTCTTCACACTCCCACAACTAAAGAGAACCAACTCGAGCATAAGTTAATTAGTTAAGATATATATTATTTGTTAAGAGACCTGAGATTTGAATTTTTTACACTCCTACAACCAAATAGAGTCAACTCGAGTATAGATCAATTAGCTAAGACATATATACTTAGCTAAGAAATTTGAGATTTGAATCTTTCATACTTCTACCACCAAAAAAACCAAGAAACTGCTCGAATATAAGTCAACTAATTAAGGCATATATTCTTGACTAAGAGATCGAGGACTTGAATCTTATTCACTCTCACAACAAGTTAGAGTCAATTCGAACATAAATCAACTAGTTAAAATATATGATCTTGACTAAGAGATCCAAGGCTTGAATCCTCCCCACTCCTAGGTTGGATTCAACGAAAAAAAGACCAAAAGTTTATAATTAAAAAAATACGTTTAGAATTGATTTGAAAAGGCACTTTTTTTTTTTCAACCCACTTGAAATGGATAGATTACGATCCGAACCAATTTGGTTTAGGCACCCTAATATGATATCGTTCAAATTTGAATTCCGATCTAAAAAGCTAGAGTGAACATAGGAAGGAAAACAGAGAAATTGTAGAATATGGCATCGAAGCAATTAGCTGAAAGTTGTACCAACTTCAACTCCAGTTTCGACAGAGGCAGTGAACTTTGGCAAGAGCGGCCATGTAATCATCAGACCTGAAAAGAGGAGAGGCATTTTGCTAATCAATTGAACTTAATGATTGGTTGCACAAAAAAGCATGGATTTCAAAGGAACTATGTATGGTGGATTCAAACCTCTGTCCATATGGAGACTGGCAAGCTGCAACTATATGCTGTTTGGCAGCATCCAGTTTTTTCTGCACAAATGAAAGTATAATCCCAGAAAAAATATTTCCCGCTCTTGCACGGAAAAAAATACTACAAGAATGTGAAAATTTAAACCTCCGACCTCTAAGAAAGAAATATATATTAATTACCGTTGAGTTATACTCAATATTAACAGAAATATTACACGGGATCACGTATTATGTTGGTGTCATCTCATCTCCTCATGGAAGACAGTTTGATTATCGTCCATAAAAATCATAGCCATGGATGAGTGTGCTTTCTTGTTTAATGTAGCAAAATGGGTATCAAACTAGTGGCATTAAACTAGTGGCATTTTAAAAGTTGAACTTCTACTGGTCTAGAGACATGTTTGGAGATATTTTTAAAGTTCTAAGTTCCAATTTAATAACTTAAAATGCTTGATGGCCAGCTCAAGTCCACCGCTAGCAGATATTGTCCGTTTTGACCCGTAACATATTGTCATCAGTCTCACGGTTTTAAAACACGTCTACTAGGAAGAGGTTTCTACATCCTTGTAAGAAATACTTCATTCCCCTTTCCAACCGATATGGGATCTCACAATCCACCCCCTTAGGGGCCCAACGTCCTCGTTGCATACCACCTAGTGTCTAACTCTGATACTATTTGTAATAGCCCAAGCCCCCACTAGTAGATATTATCTGCTTTGGCCCGTTATATCTTGCTGTTACCTCACAATTTTAAAAAAAACGCATACTAAATAGAGGTTTTCACACCCTTATAAGAAATGTTTTGTTCCCCTCCCCAACCGATGCTGATCTCACAAAGCTTCTCTTTAAACTAGTGAGATAGACCATAAACACAATCCAAAAATTGGGTCCCAACATCCCAGCTATCAAAAATAGAAACAAAATGCTTGATCCTAGTTCTGTAGCTCTCAAAGAAAGGCTGAATAGCATAGTTGTGGAAGAAGGAAAAAGGACAAGAATATAAAGATTCAGGGTATTATTTGACTTTTCAGAGACTAAGAAACAATAGGTTGCAGGGATAGTTAGCAAAAAGGTAAAAAAAAGTTGGAAGTCTTTTAACCAAACCTCTGCTTCGTGATAAAGCCCAGCATATAGAGAAGCATAAAAGTATTCATTCTCACGGCCACTTGAGAAGGCAGCAACAAGCTATGGAGTAAAAACAACTCTTTAAGTCAGATCATAAGCTAGAAACTTAAACAACACAGGTAACAAAATGGTGCATTGAAAAGGTAATTATGTAACGGCCCAAGCCCACTGCTAGTAGATATTGTCATCTTTGGACTTTTCCTTTCGGACATCCCCTCAAGGTTTTTAAAATACGTCTGTAGGGAGAGGTTTTCACTCCCTTACAAAAGGATGCTTCGTTCCCCTCTCTAACCGACGTGGGATCTCACAATCCACCCCCTTCGTGGCCCAGCGTCCTCGCTGGCACTCGTTTCTCTCTCCAATCAATGTGGGATTTCACAATCCATTACCCCTTCGGGTCCAGGGTCCTCGCTGGCACACCACCTGGTATCTAGCTCTGACACCATTTGCAACAGCCCAAGGTCACGCACACAACCCGGTGTAAAAACTTTGAGGGCAAGTCCGAAAGGGAAAACCCAAAGAGGACAATATCAACTAGCATTGGGCTTGAGCCGTTACAAGTTAAGAGATGGTTTGTCAACAATATCGAAAATCATTTTAAAAAAGAAGCATACATTTGAAAAAACCAGAAACCCCAATTGAACATGGAAGTTGTAATGATCAAATGGCTGAAAAGAAGAATTGAAGATAGAGGAAAATAGAGAAAAGTTTCATACTTTCTCAGGATGGCCACCATCTTTAAACATATTATAAGCTTCCCTCATGACTGGTCGTGGATCTCTACCTACCTAAATCCATGATTCAAACTTCCAAACATGATTTAGGATGAGTTTGCTATAATGGTTATGAAAGATGTGCTTAACTCAAGAACACGAACTCTCATAATTCATCTCAAACTCACGAAGATACTCTTATAATCATATAGCAATATTTCATCCCTGCTTTTATCATCTCATAAATATTAGCTTACCTCAAGAAATCGCCTTCTTGCTTCATCAACTCCATACAATTGAGCTTCACAAACAAAGCACCAAATAGATTCCTCTGTGTCGCTCGGATTTTGTGCGACATCTAGTCGGAACTGCTCGGCTCCCTCTTCAAATCTAAAAATGGAATTCCTACTTCACTGTTCATACTCATCCAAATTTACATGGTTTCATTCATACAAATGCATTCTTGCCATTCATACAAATGCATTCTTGAGGATAGTTGGGAGGGAGTCCCATATTGACTAATTTAAGGAATAATCATGGATTTATAAGTCCTTTTGGGGAAGCCCAAAGCAAAGTCATGAAAGCTTAGGCTCAAAGTGGATAATATCATACCATTGTGGAGAGTCTTTATTTCTAACATGATATCCGAATCATGCCCTTAATTTAGTCATGTCAATAAAATCCTCAAACGTCAAACAAAGTAGTTGTGAGGCTCGAAGGTGTAGTCAAAAGTGACTGTAGTGTCGAACAAAGGGTTTTACTTTGTTCGAGGGCTCCAGAGAAAGGAGTCCGTCAAACAAAGTAGTTGTGAGCCTCGAAGGTGTAGTCAAAAGTGACTGTAGTGTCGAACAAAGGGTTTTACTTTGTTCGAGGGCTCCAGAGAAAGGAGTCGAGTCTTGATTAAGGGGAAGTTGTTCAAGGGCTCCATAGGTCTCAAGGTTGAGAGGAAGATTGTTGAGGATCGTTGGGAGGGAGTCCCATATTGACTAATTGAATCTCAAAGTGGACAATATCGTATCCCCACATTATTGCTAACATACATAACACAGCAGCAGAGTTTTACTCAAAACTTTTTAATGGTTTCAAATCCATTTATGCTTCTTTTCTGCACTTCTTCCTATCATAAATGTAGCATAAAAGGAAAATTGGGGCAGATCGGTACCTATCAAGGTAGTAAAGGGAAAGCCCTCTTTGCCAAAGATCTGATAACAACCATAAAGAAAATCCATATAAGTAAATAATGCACTGCTGAGAACTAGGAATGAATCACTAAACCTAACTCCCCATCATCCAATTATCTCTAAAGCAAGATATCTCTATTCAAATTTGAGAGTTGTCATTTCGTTATCATTAAGAACTTAGTTTATAAACAAACTGGTTGATAGTTAATCTCACAAAATCAATTTGAATTTTCAAACTAAACTATTAACATCGCTGCGAGGTAGAGAAACCTACATGCCTTTTGACGAGGATCCAATTCAATTGCCTTATCGAATTCTGCTAAAGATCCTGAAACATCGCCCTTAATAACAACAAAATTTACACGTATTCAAGCCGAAAATTCTGATAAACGAAGCATTATTACGTGAGTTAAAAGAAAAATCTACCTCTCTGAAGAGAAGCATTCCGCGTCGAATAGCAGCAACAGCGTCGCGAGGGTTGTTTCCCCCTGTTAGGGCGTCCCAAATTCCAGAGACGGAAGGAACAAACAATCTTCTAGATAATGATAATGGAGGAACGTGATTGAGCTTGATTCTCATCGGAAGCGAGCTCGGAGAGTGGAGATTTTCGAGGGGTTTAGTTGAATTTGGTAAAGAAGGCGCGGTGAAAGATATGTGAAACGAACGGGACATGGATATGGAGGGCTTGAGACTGGAAATTGCAGCCATTGATGAAGAACGCGATGAAGCTGAAGAAGATTGTGCTCAGCAGGGGAGTACTTGTGAGAATTTGGAGACGATGGCTCTGCACCGTCCATTTTTTAGATGATGAAGATAAGGCGCCAAAACGAGTAAAGAGTTTTTTTTTTTTTTTTTTTCCAGGAATTATCAGAAGCATTTAAAAATTTTCAGAGAAAATAGTAAGCCTGACAACATTTGTTAGCGGTGAACTTAGGCAGTTACAAATGGTACCAGAGTCAGACAAATGGCACCACAACATATGTTAGTCATTTGTTTGAGAGAGGAATGGAACATTTCTTATAAAAGTGTAGAAATCTCTCCTTAGTAGACGTGCTTTAAAATCACGAGATTGACGGTGATACGTAACAAGCTAAAACTGGCAATATCTAATAGCAATGGGCTTGGACTGTTACTACTATACGTAACTGGCCAAGGCGGATAATATCTACTAGTTGTGGGCATGGACTGTTACGACGATACGGGCAAAAACAAATAATATCTATTAGTGATGGGGTCAAGCTATTACAACGGCAAATACTAGTTTCACTTATTATTATCGAGATAATGGTCTGTCTTTTCACCTTCAACGTGCAACACATGCTTATTGATGGACTAAAAAATTTGTCCACTTTCATATACTAAAACTATATAGTTATGTGTAGTGGAGATCGTATTCACACGAGCATACCATATTAGGTTAAATATAAGATAGTCTACCAAAATTAAATTTCTATATACAATATAGTTGTCTCAAGTACCTCAACTTAATTTATGTTAATTATTTTAAATGATTGACTTAATAGACTATCAATTTCATCTCTATCCCGAGACTTTTCACGATCATTAAATAAATGAAGATAAGTGGATTTCAAATAGAAGTCAACTTGATTAAGACGTTAACTGCCTCACGTAAGACATCGTGAATTCTTAACAAACAAAAGAATCAATTAACTAGTGTCGTATCCATCCAGCAACGGTATGCTCGGATTGACGCGTTGGTTAATGTTTAGGCCGGATTTGAATGGCTTGAACAACAAGTCCAGATTTGAGCTGAAAGCCTTTGGTCTCCAAGAAGCTCATGGTGAGGTGTTCATCGTATTCTCCGGTGAAGAACTCTCCCAATTCAATCTCCGACCACCCATCGTCTCTCTCTCGGAGATCCCTAATTCCGTTGCTATCAAAATCCTCTCCCAAATCAGAAGCCAATAGCTTTATGGCTCTCTCCCTCCGATTCCCATAAAACAGAGACTCCATTTTGAGGTTGCTCTGTTCCTTGCGGCGCAGCCAAACAGAGCCTTGGGAGCTCTGCAACGCATCCCCCAATTGAACACAAACTTGGGCTGGCATCAAATCTAACCCATACCCTTTCTCTGAAATCTTCACCACAAGATAAGCTCCGTACAATGTGTTCGGAGACAGCCGTCCTGTTCTTGTTCTTCCATGGATTTCCACCCAGCTCGATGCTCTTAGCTCTGCAACTTCTGCGAATCTGGAAAATGGTTTTTGTTCTTAATTATTATGTTGTAATTTTATGGCGAATTTGGAGGCGACCCATTGAAATTAATTATAAATAATACCTTGATTGAGGATCGGATTTCCAGCTCCAACAGAGTGGATCGGAGCTCCAAGTGATCGCCAGCTCTCTTGCTGACAATGTATAACAGATCTTCCCGGAAAATCTCTCCAACTCAAAGCTCTGCAATAGCGTTTGTTTATTCGAATTATTATTTTATTTCGGATTAGTTACGAAATGGAAGACGGAATTATTTTGTTTCTTTACCTTTTTACCGCCGTCGATAAGGATCGGAGAACAGAGTCGGAAGAAAGCTTCTCTCTTCGAACAGAGTGGCAATTCGCCGGCGATATCAGAGGCGGCCATGATTTCGGCGTAGTTTCTAGGCAAAAATCTGCTCCAAACGACGTCGGATTCGGCTGCTGATCGGAACGTCGACGAGACGAGGGACAGTTTCCCAGCGTCGGTGGGAGTCGTGAGTAACAGAATCGCCGAAATACAGTCCTCCGGCAACACTCCGATGCTGGAAATTCCGGCCATTTTTTTGTTCACAGTCAGAAAAATCCAATATCTCTCTCTCTCTTGATTTTTGTTGGGTTTGTGTGGAAAAAAATTTGGCGATTGGGTTTATATAAAACACTTTCTCTCTCTAGTTTCTCTCTCCTACTCATTTTGGATGTACTTCATTTGGCACGTGTCCGATGTGTAACGAGAGTGGCTGTGGCGTCCACCCGAACGCGTTGATTTAAAAAATATAATAAAATAATAAGGTCTTGTTTGGCTGCATGCTAATGGAAAACCGGTAACGGGAAATGTCGGTCAAAACGTGGACCGTTGATTTTTTTCCCTTTTTAATTAAACTTTAATTTTGTTTGGGGCCAATTGTAATTTAACGGAAACCGAGGGCTGGGTCAATAGTCAAATACTGGAGTCTTGACTTATTGCACCCACTCGCAACCAAAGGGGATTCTTTTTTTTTTTCAAAAATAAAAAATAAAAAATAATTATTGTATGAACATATAACCAATCAACGTAATTCATTAATAATTGACATATATTTATTTATATTTAAAATATTTAAAACTCGAAGTTGAAATAATTATATTGTATATTTAGCATCTAGATTGAGGGATGGTGCCAAGTAAGAGTGTAACAACTATGTGTCACTGTTATGCTTGTTCAAGGCCTGTTATCTATTGTCGTATGTCAAATGTCCTATTCATACTTGTCCAATACGTGTTGTCTATGACCACATGCCCGTTCCAAACACCTTTTACATGTTTTCATCTTAGATAAGCTTTTACTATTTCATGTTATGACAATATGAACGTGTATAGTCGTTCATCAAAATCATATCTACATTCACTAAGGTTAAAATGTACGATAGGGAGATATGACTAGCTCTCACTTCTTCAAACCCGAACTATATGCTATCAAGGTCATTATTAGTGCCTACTTGCTTTTTGCTTATAATATTGCTTCTTTTCAAATTGTTTTCAACATGTTTTCACACTCACGTTTTTCAAAATATTTCTCTCAAATGTGACTCGAGGCTCGAGTATACGCTGACATTATTCGCAAAGTCTAAATTTCTCACAACTTATTTGTTCGCTGAGTTAAAACAAGTGTCGCACAATCGTTATCTCACTATCATAAGAGTGCAATTGTGACACTGACACTCTACATTCAGTATTATTTGATTTCGACGTCTGAAATAGGACTTTGTGGTTCTTTCTACTTCGACCTTCATTTGATTTTGACGGTCGATGTCAACTTATGGTCCTTTGCATTTCAATAGTGATTTGAAAACAAAAATTTAAAACGAATGGAGTCGAGTAATACACTAATTAATAAATTAAGAAATTATATGTAAATAGTGAATTTCTAACTGTTATTAATTAATTTTTGGAAGTGTATTATGGTATAAATTTTTTATAATTATTATTTTCCATGTTATGTTTTAAATAATTTTAATTCTAACAATCTCTTTATTTCATGTGAATCTATTTTTTTTTTTTTTTATCAAAATTTTAAAAGTGAGACAAATTTTTAATTTGCATATCAAACAAATCCTCCAATTATCTAAGAAATTGTATAAAAAAATTATTATTATTATTATTATTTTTATTTTACTTTTCCAATCGTTATTCTAGATTTAAAAATTATCATTTTTTTTAACTTAAAAAATTAAATTTTAAATTTATAAATCAAATTAAAATCCATCTTTGAAACTTTTAACCTTTTAATTGATAATATAATATTTAAACCAATTTATTTTTTTAAAAAATAAATTTTAATATTTATTTTTAAATAACTTTCTTAAAAGTATAAAATAAAATAAAATATATATAACATTGACCATGAATATTAAATTCATTTTAAATATTATAGAGGAAGAGACTTAGCCATAAAAAATGTATAGTTATTGAAAGGTCTTTTTTAAATAAAAAATGTCATTTTATTATTATTATTATTATTATGTGAGAAAATAATATTATTAGAGAAAAAAATATCATTTCATTCTAATATTATAGACGTGAGATCGCAAACCTTTCATCATGAAAAACGTCATTATTACAAGAACGAGTTACATATCAATTTGCATTGTTCGTCTCGAAATAGTGAAAATAATCTTCGTTTACAGTGGAAACACTTATTCTCGATAAAGTGAGTATACCTCTTTATAATTCAATACCGGAACTAATTGGATGCAATAAAATTTCGAGACTATTTGTAATTGTTAAAGATGTCCACGGGGTGAGACAGGGACAGGGACAAGGAAGTCTTCTTCATACCCATTAAAATTTTCATTTATTATTGTGGGAATTGGTATAGGAATTCTATGCAGCACATTTGCAGCGATCGAGTTAACCACTGATAATTTTTTTCGGTTTATTATTCTTTAAAAAAATAATTATATTAAAATTTTCATTTTTAAATATCATCTTTATTTAAAAACGGTAAAAAAAAAAAAATCATAATAAATTAATATATTTTATATGCAATCGGGTAACGTTATACCAACATAATTTTTAAAAATTCAAATTTTAACATTAAAAAAAAAAAAAAACTTAGAACACTTAAATATAATAATTCGAGCTCCAAAATTAACTAATTTATATTTTAATATATATTATATTAAGTTATCCGTAAAAAAATATATTTATATTTAATGGGATGTGTGAATGTTTGATTAATCCATCACACATAAATTATAAGGATATGAAAATAGTAATAAATGGAAATAACAATAAATGGAAAGATACCTATGATAATAAGGCAAATATTAGATATTTGACTTATAATAAAATATCAAATATAATATATATGGTAAACTATAATTTATTACTAAATATCTTTAATAGGATGGAACCGGGGATAGGGACGTATAATCTCGTTCTCGAGCCCATATATTATTATTATTATTATTATTATTTAAAATATGTGGGTTATTATTATTATTATTATTATTATTATTTTAATTGACTTTTTTGAATTTTCAAATAATTGTAATTAGAGTTCAAAAAGTGGAGGAGGGGTGGTCAGTTTTGGGTACACACTATGGAAGTTGCATACGA